CTGATTCCATTGCCCTCCCGATGCCACAGTCACTAGTAATTCTTTCCATTGCATTTACTTTTTACAGGATCATAAAGTTGATTTGGATGAGGAAAGCCCTTCGGCCCATCTAATCTCATCCCTCCAGAACACCCATATCCTCCTCTACTAAAATATTCCTGTGGTCCAACATTTCGATTCCCAACTTATTTAGTTCTCTGCCTATCTCAATGTTGCCTCCAACATATCACTTTCACTCTTGCTCTGCTTATTAATTATTTTCTCCACCCAGGTTATGTCCAATGTTTAGGCATCATTTATAACATTCAAACCTCCAAATCATTTATGTGTGAAATAGATGCATGTAATAGACAAAACTGCAATTTGTTGTAAAAACAGAATATACTGTTGGAAACATGTTATATTCCATCCGTGCCAAAGAATTTCACAGTGTGCACATGGCTTTGTCACGTTTGGATTACTGAGTCTTCCTTAGGCAATAATGTTTATTTATGGTTGGCTGCATTATCCATAAGCTATATAAAAAAACATAATTTTTTTTTGTGGTATTATGCAGATATGAATACCTCTGTGTAACCACTTTATCAGTGGAGCTAGAAAGCATGACCATTTCTAAAGCCTGTATCTAATCTGAGTTATGCTGTTCTAGCAAAAGGCTTCAAAATGTAATTTAGTGGGGAGGGGATGCTGTAATTTACTTCCTGTGTTATTGGTGCAGAGCTGCAGTTGCATAAATGTAACCTACGGTAGCTCATATAAACTCCCTAATATCTGAATTAATTCTAGCAAATGAAACTGCATCTCTTTGCTGTGTTTTACAGTTGGACTACTTCAGAGTCAGTGTAATTATAAACAGCCGTGGATTAAACTGGAACCTGCTAGTAGCATAGAACCAGCAGGGGAGCATTGAAAATGTTCTTAGGCCACATCCTCCTGAAATGTAACCTGACATATTTTTTACAATATTACAGTATTTACATTTATATAGTGCTTTTCAAATCAGGAGGACTTCTCAAAGTGATGGCTTAATTGGCTGAACTCCAACTGTTCAGGGCATTGTTCTTCAGCCTCTACGTCAGGAATATAAACCTCCAAAGAGGGAGTCTGAGTCAGCGCCTAATGGTTGTCGAATAAAATATGTGGAGAATTGGAGATCGCTAACTGTTCGATGCTTAAGGCTGAATATCTGGCACAAGTTATTGATACTTCAGGCATGCCACACTAGTGTTCACTTGCAATATTAAAATGTGCAAAATACTATTGAGAGTTTGGTACTCTCAACTGAAAGCTAGCAATTTAAATGGCAGCTCCACTTAATCCAACATTGTGGATTGCAAAACCCAGGTTAGGGCACTGAGACTCAGTGTAGATGAAACCTTGTCTTAAAGAATTCTTCACAAGGGGATCTGAATGTGAAATAAAAGTTAATGCAAAATATGAATTGGACTAGGCTTAAATGAACAAGTTTCTTAACTATAATAAAAAAAGCTCCTAAGTTCTGTTTTGAAGAAAGATTCAGAAATGTCCAAGGGTAAGTGTGATATCTTATAGCATAGATAATATAGTATGTCCAGTCCATTTAAGAAATACAATGATGTTCATACATTTTTGGACTGCTGATTTTGGATTTGTGAATTTAGTGAATCCTCCAAATACTGTTCAAGACTGAATCCAAATTGTTCATCCACAGAGGCATGTTTATGCATTCCCAGTTACTGAGGTCTATTTACTTTACAGTTGAAACAGAAGAAATAAATATATATAAACGGTTCGGTGGAGAAATATGTTCTTACTGCATTAAGAAATGTGGTTAACAAAGTGTACAATAGATTGGTAAATGGAAGGAAGGACTGTATTCATCCAGGCCTTATCAGCATTATGGACTAGGAATCAGCACTATTGAGTACAGATCAGACCTTTGGATACAGGGATCACATCACACCCTTTGGACAGGGGATCAGCACTATTGAACACTAGAAATATACAACATATTTGGCCCATTATGTCTTGCTGATTCTTTAGAAGAGCAATCTATTCAGTCTCATTTACATTTTTTTCCCCATATCCTTGCAATTTTTATTTTTTAGATATCTATCTAGTTCCCCTTAAAGCTAATATGGATTCTGTTTCAACAACCCAACCAGAAGATCATTCTTCACCCTATCTAATGACCTCTATCAAGTCTTCCCTTGACATTTTCTGTTCCATTTCATCTAGTCTCTTGCCCAGCCTAGCATTGGGTCCATGTCCTACAGTTTGATACAATGAGCTAGGAAAGAGCACTGTGGATTGGCTGGGGTGGGGGTTGGGGGGTGGGTGTCTACAGACCAGAGATAATCACTCTGGACAGGAATCACCACTCAAAGAGAACGAGGACCCATGCAATCCCTAGTGTACCAGGCAATCGGGTACATGTAGCACTACAGATTGTCATAAATATATTGAATACCACTTGATCAACAGAAAATAGACATTGTTAGTTAGCCCCAACCCTGATATAATTATTTGAATGCGTTGTCATATGAAATTGGATAAATGTAGCCCAATTCTCCAGTAGCACCAGTCTATAAAGTGTATTCCATTAATAAAAGAGGAAAAATAAATATTAAAAACAAAAATACTTCTATGGCTCCAAACACAGATGGTTCCTCCTCTATGCTTGAAAATGAATTGAACATTTCCTTTTCTTATGTAAGGAGACGTTCCGAATGTGCACAACATTGCCAATTTATTTAATAGCCATAGTATTACAAATACAAGTTTTACATTTTCCTAGTAGTCAATGTCAAAAAGCCAGAATTAGTAATAAATTTGGAGTAAAATCACATTCAGTTGGCATCCCTGCAAGAATGAGTCGAGCTATAAGACAAGCATAGACAAAGGGAAATAAATAGTAATTACATCTATTTTGCATGATCTTGTCTGAAATTGCCTGACTTTTTGACTGAAATTGCATGATTTTCAAAGAGAAATTCTGCATCGAAAATTAACCTTCATGTAGAAATCAGTGACATTTTAATGTCAGAATGATGAAACCTTACAAGAAATTTAACATTATTTCTGAATGGGGTGTGAGAATTTTAGTTAACCTCTCTCTCCCTGTTGCTGCCATCATTTGTTATGTGTGACAAAGGATTTCTGTAACTCTTTGTTACATCTCTCATAACCAGACTAAGTCTCCTATGATCTAGAATTGCACCCTCTCTTGGGTCACAGAGCTTTCCTTGTCAGTTCAGCCAGTCTAACAATATGACCTTTAATAATTAATATTATATCATGCAGGCCTTTGATAACTCTGTCTCCTTTGGTAAGGGGCGTTTCTTTAGAGATACAACTGAAAGCCAATTAAATCACAAATAGATTTATTTTATCATGGGATTTAAACAATTTAGCTAAATATTTAACTACAGCATAAGAGCACCACATTAGATTAATATTAGAAACAACAACAACAAATTACATTCATATAGCGCCTTTTACATCGGGAGGACATCCCAAAGTGCTGTACTTTGGGATGACCTCTGGGGGTTGGATGCAAGAGGGTTGGAGGCCAAAGGGGGGCAGTGGGAAGTTGACTGAAGGTGCAATCAAAGAGAAAGATCTTGAGACCTTGAAGGAGGTGAAGGAAGAGGTTACTGACTGGTTGAGTCCCATGCTGCAAGGGATTTCAATTCATTTCCAGATGTATGAATGGAGCATAAAAGTACTTAATCAAGGTGCAGGTGTTGTTAACAAACATTGTTGTAATTCTGCCCTTTTTATGGAATTTACGACAAATTTGTGATAATTAGAATTAACCAATCAAAATGTGATGTAAACATAATTTGGGAATCACGTTGTAACTTGATACACAAAAGAAAAGAATTATATCACAGCTGTGAAGCTAAGGAAGAGCTCAAAATGAAAAATAATACTTGTATTTGATGTAGCATCTCACCATGTCAAAACATTTCAAAGTACTTCATGCAATGAATTATTCTGAAGTGTATAGAAAAGAATTGGAATTTTACAGTTCACAATGAGGCCGTTTGGTATATCATGCCTATGTCGGCTCACTGAAAGAGTTATCTGTTTAAACCCACACATTTACCCTTTCTCCATAACCTTTTCTATTTTACTTTTTCAAATATTTGGCTAATTTCTTTTTAAAATACTATTATGGATTATGCTCCAACCATCGCTTTTGAAATAGCAATTCATATCTGAATAATTCTTCTTCAAAGATATTCATTCTCCTGAAGTCTCCCTTAGAATGACCTATGAAAGTAACACACGTTACAGGCATTTTATTTCTCCAATGCCAACCTTGATACCATAATTGTATAATGGAAACCACCTCCACTGCCAAAGTCAGTAAAGACCATCAACAATGGTGTGTTAGTAATGAAGAAACCAGCATGTACTAAGCTAGTATCTCACATAATTTCAACAACTACAATAAATTCTACCTTCTGTAAAAAAATAAAGCATTTTTTATTTATCTTGGGAAATGGATAATGCTGGCAGGGCCAACACCACGACGATGTTGTGTAGAGCATCTGGATTTTGACCCAATGATGATGAAGGAATGGTGAAACATAGTCAAAAGAGTTTCTTTTTTGAGATTAAATAACTCTTATGGAAATACACCTCACTCTCATGTTATTTGCCAAAGGTTATGTGGTGGTATATTTCTTACCTCGGACTAAAATATCTAATTATAAATTACAATAATAAATTGGTCATTTTCAATCTACGACTGTTTGTGGGACATTGCTGTGCGCAATTGGCTGCCGCGTTCGCCCACAAATATACAGTCAATTCACTTTACAGTCTATTCTGTGAAGCGCTTTGGGACGTCCTCCCGACGTGAAAAGCGCTATATCAAATGCAAGGATTATTATTATTATTATTATTATAATTATAAAATAACCTGCTTTTTGGACTAAAAACTAGTAGTAGCTTTGATTCTGTGATTTTTTAATCAAACTCTATCTTTTTGTTCCCCTCCTGTCCCTCAGGTCATGGACTGTATGGAATGTTTGAAATGCTTTCATCGTGGAGGAAAACCAAGGAAGATCAGCATGTAAAGGAGAGAATAGCCACAGTGTATGCTGATACTATGCTGCCCATTACACTCACCACTGCCATGTACATGGTTACATTTGGCATTGGTGCCAGTCCCTTCACCAACATAGAAGCTGTGAAGGTGTTCTGTGCTAACACATGCATATCAATCTTTTTTAACTACCTCTATCTGATGTCATTTTATGGCTCCAATTTGGTGTTTACTGGCTACTTAGAAATTAATTACCAGCACAGTATTTTTTGCAGAAAGGTGCCAAAACCTGAAGATCTACGAGGTAAGCCTGCATGGTACAGATTTTTCATGATGTCCAGATTTAGTGAGGAGGCGACAGACTCCGCTGAAAGTAGCACCTATGAAAATCATTTTCTGCTATGGTTTCTGAAACATTATTATTGTGACTGGATAACAAACACTTATGTCAAACCTTTTGTTGTTCTGTTTTATCTTGTTTATATCTCCTTTGCCTTAATGGGCTATCTGCAGGTCAGTGAAGGTTTGGACCTCAGTAATGTTGTTGCTTCACAGTCACGCACTGTTTCATATACAACTGTTCAGCAGAAATATTTCAGTAACTACAGTCCTGTCATTGGCTTTTATATTTATGAACCAATAGAATACTGGAATGCCAGCGTTCAAGAAGATCTGCTGGAAATCACTGAAGGATTTGTGAGAATATCATGGTTCGAAACTTATTTAAATTATCTTAGAAAACAAAATGTAACTACTTCGGTGTCCAAAAAGTACTTCATAGAAACCTTACGAAATTCCTTCTTAAAAACTCCACAGTACTCCCACTTCTCAGACGATATCATATTTGTGGAGAAATCCAACAATGAGATGGAAGTTGTTGCCTCTCGGATGTATTTGGTAGCCAAGACAGCAGAGAATACAAGAGAGGAAATTTATGATCTGCTGGAAACTCTGAGGAAACTGTCTCTTACGTATAAGGTTAAATTTATGATTTTCAACCCGTCTTTTATCTATATGGATCGATATGCTTCTTCCATTGGAGCACCTCTGCAGAATTCTTGCATTAGTGCACTGTTTGTCCTCTTCTTCTCTGCATTCCTTGTAGCAAATTCTTTAGTAAATGTCTGGGTCACTCTGACTGTGGTTTCCGTGGAGTTTGGAGTTATAGGCTTCATGACACTCTGGAAAGTAGAACTGGATTGCATCTCTGTATTGTGCTTAATATATGGAATAAACTACACCATCGACAATTGTGCACCATTCATATCCACATTTGTCTTAGGAAAAGAATTTACAAGGACAAAGTGGGTTAAAAATGCTCTGGAACTACATGGAGTAGCTATTTTGCAGAGCAACTTTTGCTACACAATCGGTATGATTCCTCTTACTGCTGTGCCTTCTAATCTGATCTGTACACTATTCAGGTGTTTCTTTCTAATAGCGTTTTTCACCTTTCTCCACTGCTTTGCCATTTTACCTGTGATTTTGACCTTTGTGCCACCCTCCAAGAAAAAACGGACAGAAAGGAAAAGCAACGAAAATCATGAGGAAATCGAATGCATGGAAATGGTAGACCTAGACAGCACTCGGGTGGTTGATCAAATCACGTCAGTTTGATGGACTTAGCTCGTGAGGACATGTGGAGAGAAAGTGAGCATATAAAACTGTGGTCTGAATGAACACAGCAGTAGGCAAAACAATATCGTGAACAGGGGGGAAAGGAGTGAAAATTACAGTGAGAAAAACTGATAATACGTAAGTAGCTTATATTGAAGAGTAATATTGAGAAATCAGGCAGCTCAGGTTGTAGGATGGCTACTGCTCTTTATATTTGTTCAGTATTAAAGGAATACTCCAAGGATATTTTGGAATGACTGTGACTATTAAATACTTCCTGTGCTCATTTCCACAGTGCCACTGTGTCTGACGTGCGAGTGCTGAATCAATAATAATCCTTGGATTTGATATAGCGCCTTATCACATCTTCAAGATGTCTCAAAGCGCTTCACAGAATATACTATAAAGTAACTATATTTTGTGGGCGAATCAAAGGGAACATGAAAACAGTTTATTAAAAGAGATTAGTATTGTTCCCCCCCTCCCCGTCAGATAGTATATTTGCAGTTTCTAATTGATACTTAGAGCGGCCCAATATTGAACATTCAACACTCCACTTAATCATTCACCAGTTTAAAGCACTCTCGTGGTTTGAAACTGTTTACAGAAATTGTCTAATAGCGATAATCATTGCAAAATATAAGATAGACATTGAAGACTTAGTACCTGATAGACCAATGTGGAACAAGAAACCTGAAATATACTTCCCATTTCTCATCACCATAGTCAGGGGCTGCTAAAAAGATAACACCTGATTTCAGAGCTCTTCGCATGTACTACGTGCACACACATCCATACGCCTTTAAAATCTGTGACAAGTTTTCTTTTCTTTTAAGAGTGCGTTTGTAAATGCCGTTTATTAACAAAATATTGTCCTTTGAATGTTCTTGAGTTATCCAAAAGACCATGGCACTGACGCTGAAATCAATTCACACCGACTGTATTTAAACCTCAACGAAGTATGTTGCCAAGTTCTAGGCAGCACAGCTTAATTTGGAAGTAAATTATATTACATACAGTATCTTTTGGTGAATCACTGTAAAATCACACATTGATTCCCAAATTGGGACTTTAATCTCATATAGTCTAGGGCCTAGACTCTAGGCTGACACTCCAGTACAGTGCCAGGGGTATACTGCATTGTTGGAAGTGCTATCCTTCGGATGAGTTGTTACACCAAGGGCCCACCTGCCTGTTCAGGTGAACATTAAACATCCCATAGCACAATTGAAAAGAGAAGGGAGTTTCTTCTGGTGTCCTGGCCAATAATCGCCCAAATAAAACTCGTCATTCACTTGATGGCTGTTTGTGGGACATTGTTGTATGCAAATTTGCTGCCATATTCATCTACAAAATACACGGTTACTACACTTTACAATTTATCCTGTGAAGTGGTTTGATACATCTTCCTGACATGAAAGGTGCTGCTTCAAATATAAGTACCATAAAAGTTTAATTTTTGACATTCAGGTCTGGTTTGTGTGAGCCTACCAGGAATATTCCTTCAGTACTCCATGAACAATTCTAAATAGGAACACCAATTTATTACCTATCGATGATGGATCAGACTTCAGGTTCATTTGACAAGGCTGAGCCACTCCACAGCCCAGCAGCACAATGTCATTCTTCAGTACCCTGTATTTTGGTTCCACAATCTCTCTAACAATACAGTTTATGATTAATTGTCCAATACGTAATTCCAGTAACAGTAACAGAATTAATGTTGATATCTTTGCAGCTTAGTGCATTAGGTTTTGTGCAGTCATGAAGTGCAGATTGCTCAGAACAAATGTAAACATGAAATATCTCCAAATTATTTATTGATTTTGTAGAAACAGAGAAAAACGTTTAAATGTCTGGTCTGAACCTAAATGGTAAATGTGGATAAACCAAGTGCAGAAAACAGATTTTAATAAAAGACTTGTCATCTGACCTTTTGCTGCAGAATTGGTTTCCAAGAGCTTTCATAGCTGCTTAGTGATCTGTGGACTAAAACTATATGTAATCTTTAGTACTTAACAACTATAGGTGCTATTACACCTTGCCCTAGGTCCCTATCCTATAGATCACAGAGAATGGATGGAATATGGCTTACATGCTGCTTTGCTAGCACTCAGGGGTTTAAAACTATAAAGAAAAGTGGTTCGACAGAGTTTCAGTATAGATTAATTTCCATTATTCCCCATGAAGTATCATCATCGAATACAGAAATATAAACTTAAAAGATCCTAAGATATAAGAGCTCAGCAAATTGGATCATTTAGTAGATTTAACTTACCTCATTAGCCAGTACATATCTAGAAGCACATACTAAAGAATTAGGAACATTGTCCTATTAGACATTCTCACAGATTTCAGGGTAAGTTGGCAGAGAGGAGAGACCTCAAGAAGAGAACAAAGTACCAATATACAGATCAGAAATCGTATAATCTTAGTTCCTTTTGAATGCATTTTTAAGTTTTAAGAGAAACCCAATAATTTTGTGTTAAGCTTCACAGATGGTACTTATACTTTACTGGTCATTAATATAGAAACACTGTATACTGTTTTACCACTGACAAATGTTCCCTATTTGTCTCCTCTAAACTATCACCTGTAGTTTTCACACAAAAAGTAAATTGTACTTACTATAACTATATTTAAATGCTGGTTGGAATTTTACAAGGTGACATGTAGATAAAAGGACTGTCTGTTTATATATGGTATATTTGTACCATAGTAAAATATTTGCACAGTCCATTTGTAAATATGCAAATATATCCAGCAAATGTTTATGAAGGAATTTATCCAAGGCATGACATTTCTCATGGTCTTAGCCTTAAGAACATTGCCTAAAACTTTAAGATCATATGGAATTTGAGAAAATTCTTAAAATCAGTCTTATTATGGTAGTTCCTTTCAAAAAGCACTTCCGAATTGAGATTAAATTTAAAAGTTAGCCAAAATTCTACATAATCTTAAATTCTAAGAAAATAGCCTTAAGGCTTAGATCAAGAGAACTTTTGAAACTGATTTATTGTACTGTATTTAATTATTGTGTTCCAATGAAGTGATGGGATTGATAGCAGCAGATATTAGGAAAAGGCTAGGGATTACTCTAATGGTATTATGGTACTGACAAATACATTGGTAATTTTCTTAGCCGTGTTTCTTGGCTTCAACATTTAACAAACTTGTTGCAATTCTCTTTGACAGTGGGGTTGAAAAAGGTTTTGTAGGAATGTCGGCAGCATAAATGTTTCACACCACAAAAAGGTACCTTAGGACATAAAGTGAGTCTTCTCCAGGAAGTCCATTGTATGTTAAAGCAACACATGAGAAGTCAGCCCCAACCCTACATCACCTCATAGCCAAGTTCTCTCAAGTTGGTTTAATGAACATGGACTTTATACTTTGCGTCCTGAAGCATTTTTTTCAAGATGAGATACAATTTATACCAACACAAGTGTTTATGACAAGTGCTTTTTCAACCTTTTTATGCCAAAACACAGCCAGTCCTTATCTCATATTCTGGGTTACTTTCCCTCAAGATCCACTACTATAAGTTTTGTCGTGCCATTTCATAGTTCAAGTGTGATGGATGATCCTTAAGTCTTATAATGATGGCAAGATAAATCTCATACTAACATCTATTTATTTGTCATAAATACAATCAATGTTTTCAGATTTGTATTTTTGTTGTGGAAATATCATTGTTTTGGCACGAATGGGGTTTAAAACTGTGGGAAGATGAAACTCAGTTGAATCTGTAAAGCAGTGCCTGAAATAAGGCAACATGAGCATGTAGTGCATTATTGCACTTCCGCAAACAAATACGCTCAGCACGTTAAATGTAGCACACATCAAAGCATGAAGTCAGATTATCACTTAGTTACAGCACAACATTTTTCATGGAATAGCTTTCCATTTCCATGTCGAACCTCACATTTTTTATTTTTTTAAATCACAAATAGGTTACATTTTTGCATTTTTTAAAAAAAAATAATTTTGTCCTGAAGATTCACTTCAGTTTCAGACATTTATAGCATTCTGCTAATACATACCTATAGGCTGGACTACCACTAGAGTAAATGGGAAGACAAAACACATTTCATTTTTCAAGTTCAATGCCTGAGCCATATTCTGCTATTAGTGCTAGCTCTGAGGTCTTGCAATTTTCCTCTAAGATACTTTCAAACTTAAAGTGTTAGGTGTTTGACTATTAGGTGGAACCCAGAGAGATGCTAGCATCTAATTAACAACTTTTAAACAACATTTCAGGTTAGTTTTTTTTTCTCCTACAGTGGAGTTGATAAAGTGAAACAGATTCTTAAAATAAAGTAGTTGATTCCTTAAAAAAAATCCTTTCAAATTCCCCTATGGCATTGCCCCTTCCTAACTAGCCCTATTCTCCCAGTGCAATCTGCTCTTCCAACTCTGATTTACTGATCGTTCCTTGTGCCCTCCTTCCCAACATGATTAGAGAGCATTTGCTATTGACATATGCCCATGCTCTCTGGAACTCACTCTTAAAATCCCTTTGCTTTGCTCCTTTTATGCTGCTTCTAAAACCCTTTTAAAAACCTATTCTTTCGACCAGTCAACACCCTGACATTCTGTTACATCTCTTTACTGTCCGCTACTCCTTAACGGCTTTCAGAAACTTTGAGATGGTCACCTTACATGAAAGGCACCATATCAATCAAATGTTCTTTGAAACAGAGCTGCATTAATATCTCATTAAGAATGAGATTGAATATTTCATGCATATAGGTATAGATGATCAAGAACTCTACAGAATATAATGTTTGCTATGCTGCTGGAACTATGGATAAATGACCTGCAGAATGAAGATGGTAAGAGATAAATAAGGCAGTTTGTAAGATTACTGTATATTAATATTTTGGACTCTTTCTTGGTTACCTTTAAGGGAAGAAAATGTTGTAATATTTGCATTTTCCAGAGCTTTGCACCTTCAGAAGTCGGTTGAGTGAGTTGGATAAAATCAATGCTGTGTGTAAATTGCATATGGTCTATAAAGGAAATGGGCTGAATGGCTTTTTAAATTGACTAGTTATTGTTGCAAAGCAAGTGCAAGAAAATAGAGGCAAGACGGTCTCTGTTAATGTAAATTTTAAAGAATCAGCTCAATACTATTGTTAAAACATTTATTTAATATTTTTT